TTTCTTGAAAAACTCAGATCATCACTAGGCTTATCAACAGTCATCAGGAGCTCTACTCTAGATTATATAGAAAATGAGAGCATCAAATGATCTAACTTCTAAAAAAATTTAATATAATAAGTATATTATACAATATTCGAACATATCCTATGCTATAAATACAATAATATACTAAAAAGGAATATATAACAAAAAAGCCTTCGGAAAAATTAAAAATAATAATAGTTCTTAGTGACTTCTCAGAATACTAGGTATCTAGATATAGCAAGACAGTTAACAAGATAGTACTTATTGTAAGTAATAGTTAAAATTGGGTTGTATTAAATAAGATAGAGTAGTATAACCAAAAATATTTATAAATATAGCTTCTTATAATCTAATCTATATTTCTCTAATTCTGAATTAAAAAAGTCCAATCAGTATAACTAATTAAAAAAAAATAAAATTAAAAAATAAAATTAAAAATTAAAAAGATTTTAAACTTCTTAGATTATAAATTTATATTTCCAATAGAAAAGAACTATTATTAAAAGAAAAAAATCTAGAAACAAGAGCTTATAAAAGATTTTAACAAGAAAAATTAAATATAAAATAAAGTATTGACTTTGAGTTCTATCAAAATCTTTTATAGTAATTTATAATAAATAATACTATTAACAATTAGAAAAGTCTTTATTTAAATTATTTATAAAAGAATAAATTACTTCTAAAGCTATATTTAGAGTTTTAGAAACAAAATATAAAATAGAAATAAGTAAGTTATATAAAAATTTGATTTTAGTGAAATATTTTAAAATATATAATATACAAATATTTAATAACGTATATATTATATATCTAATCCGATAAAAAATAAAAAAAAATTTTTTTTGAAAAAATAAATTTAAAAATATTTAAAATAATATGGGTTTTTTTTTTAACACGCAATCATGCTGCAATGGCATATCTTTATTGAGATATTGAGAAATACCTAAATATTTTATAGACTTTCACAAAGTGACTAACTTGTTATTATGCATTATTAGTTAAAGGACTACACTACTTAAAAAATATAAGGAGTTCACTAAGCTAGTTTGAATTAGACAAAACTAAGTCTAAACTAGATATTCTAAATCAAATTTAGAGGATAATATCTTGCTTTCCTAGTAGCCTGGCAATAGTGCCTCTAAGTTAATCAGAATTATTGCCAACAGTTTGTCCTATTGATTATCCTGAAAAATGATAAATCGCTAAAGTTGGCACTGAAAAAAAGGAAAGAAGGAATACAATTCAAAGCCCTCTAAAAAATTCTTGCTCTATTTCATAGTTTTTTCTCGAAAGGGGTTTGCCTGATTGAAATATTCTCTAAGTTTTATGATATTTAAGGAACTTAGCCATTCCTGAAAGTGACTTTAAGAAGAATGTTTGAAGAACTTATCCTTCTGCTGATATATGAATTTGCTTATTACTAGTAAAGCCAGCATTATATTAAGGAAAAGCTTGCCTAACCGGGATAAAGAAATCTTTTCAAGAACTTTGCCTGACCAGGATAGAAGCTTGAAAACCTTAGCTTTTGTCCAAGAAAGTCTTTTCACTATCTAAGAAACTTAATAAAAGATGAGAGTTGGATCTTCTATTCCTACCTATTACTCACTTTTCAGTATTATAATTGTTTCTTAAAGATTGAACATATACGATTGGAGAGATACTTTTTTTAGAACTTGCTTTCCTATATCATCAATGATATATCAAGACATGTGAGTGTGACCAATAGGAACTTGTTTATATTCTAAAAACTGATGTGTTTTGTGTCAGCCAATCATTGTTGATAAGGATTTGTGTTATTTAAAATTCAGGATAAAACCGAGATTGGCAAAATTCCCCAGAAAATCATAAACATGGGAGCTTTAAGAGGACCAAGACAGTTAAAAAGAGAGAAAATAGGCCTTTTTACTGCAGAAAATCTCTATAAACTTCTTGTTTAAAAGGTTAAAAAGATTTTTAGATACTTTATAGTCAGTTCTTTTTTCTTTAGAAACTTTCTTGCTATTAGTATCAAAGGTACTACTTGATTTTTCTTAATTACTAGAAGTTAAGTTTTTGAATAAAAAGATTTATAAACAATAGGGGAAGAATAGAAGTGACTCTTAAAGTTATACTTCAAGTTGTTTTAAGGAGAGTGTTAAGATTTTATTAGTAAGGAAGTGTAAAAACTTCTTGTAAACATTTTTTTTGTGTATGGTTAAAGGATTAGCAGAAAGAGTTTTATTTAAAATAATATGGTAAAAAAAAGCATTATAATATTTTAAAAAGTTTATTTAAATATATAGAATATATTATATTATATATTAGACAAATTACTCTTTTTGTCAATTATTTAATTATATATAAAAAAGATGTTTATAAAATATTTATATATTTTTTACTAATAAAATCTTAATATTTTTTTAAAACAACTTAAAATATAACTTAAAAAATTATTTTTATTCTTTTTCTTTGTTTATAAATATCTTTACTTAAAAACTTGATTTCTAATAATCAAAAAAAGTCAATTAATATCTTTAATATTAATAATAAAAAAGTTTTTAAAGAAGAAAAAACTAATTGTTAAGTATTTGAAAGTTTTTTTAATTTTTTAAATAAGAAAATTATAAAGGTTTTGTATAGTAAAAAAAATTATTTTTCTTCTTTTTGAATGTATTTATTTTTTTAGAGCTTTTATTTTCATAGTTTTTTTAAGAATTCTATTTTATTAATTTGATTTTAAATTTTAAGTAATACAAATTCTCACTAAAGGTGATTGGCTAATATAAAATATATTAGTTTTGAAATATAAATAAACTTCTATTGATTATAATAATAATTTCTGATAATATTATTGATAATTGAAAAAAATATTTCAAAAATATTTATCTTCTAAAAACTTAAATCCTTTAATAAAGATATTTATAATATCAAAATATTAAGAAATAAATAATATAAATTGCAAACTCTTATTTTTTTATTTAAGTTTTTTAGTAGATAACAAAACTTTAATAAATAAAAGCTAAGGTCTAAATATTTTTCTTAAGATATTTTAATTTGATACTTATTTAAATAAAGAATTGATTAAGTTAACTTGTTTAATATTGCAAATAGTAATAAAAAAGATTTTTTTAAAAATTTAATTGAAATAAAAAAACTATTTTAATTAAGTAAAATTCTTTTAAAAAAAGATTGTTTTTATTTTTGAATTTTTTTGAATTTTATAAGTCTTGAATTATTCTTTTCCTTCAATTAATTTTTTTCCTTTCTAATTTACAATTTATTAATTTTCAAGTCTATCAATAATAACAAACTGTTAATAATGAATTTAATAAATAATAATTAATTCAATTATATAATAGAATATAATATTGTTTCTCAAATTTGATTTAAAATACTTTATATAATAATAAATTAGTTATTTTACAAAAGTTTATAAATTATTAAATTTTGAATTTTTCTGAAAGGGAATTTTGTTTTGTTTATATTTTCTGATCCTGAATTTTTAATTATATCAAATCTAATAAAATTTTATTGGTTGAAAATTTAGAATTAGATAATATCATTAATAATAGAAAATAAAAAAAATAAAATATATTAATATTTAAAATATAAACAAGTTTCTATTGATTTTAATAATATTATTAATAATAAAAAATAAAAAGTTTATAAAAAAGTTTTTTTTTGATTGGTAAACTTCTAAGAAAGATAATTATAATATTAATTATATTATATGTATAACAAGATATAAGAAAAATATAGAACAAAAATTAAAATTTACAAAAATTTTTTATAAATAAATAACTTACAAATGAATAGTAATAAATTAGTATTAATTGCTATTATTAATTTTAAATGTTGTTTAGAAAAATTTAAACAAGTAATAATAATAAAATAATAAAACAATTAAATAAATCTAAACAAGTTAGATTTTTATAAATTTAAATAACAATTAAAAAATAATATCAAAATTAAAAATAAAAAGTTTTAAAAAATTGAACACAATTATTAAAACATTAAATAATAATAATAATAAATAAATAAACAAGTTCTATATACAATTTGAGACAAAACTTATTATATAAATAAAATGTTAAATCAAATAGTCAAAAAAAAAAAAATATATATATATATTTTAATAAAATATATATATATATATATTTATTTATATATTAATAATAAGTAAGTTGATTTAAATATAATTAATATTTAGTTATAATATACTGTATATCATATTTAATTATAAATAAATAAGTTTTTTTTTTTTTATAATATCGATTTAACAATTTTAATATATATAACATATAAAATATGTAGTACATTACATGCGATATGTTAAAAAGAAGAATTCCTTTGGGAATCAAAATAACACGCACGTTGTAGATTTCAATATACGGTACCTATTTTTTTTTTTTTTTTTAATCAATCAATTTAATCCCATTATATTGTAATATCAGATCAACCATTTACAGCATCCTATAAAAATTAAAAATTTTAAGGGTCAATTAATAATATTCTACGATTAGGTAAACTTTACACATAATGTCTAAGCTACTGTGGACATTATTTACGTCAAAGTGGATTTGCTCGCACAAAAACTTGACATCTTTCATATTCTTAGGTGATTTGTAATCACACACGAATATCATTTTTCACCGGATTCCATCCAATTGTTTTCTATATACTGTATGCCATATAATCAATTGATCATTTATTTAATTTTATTTTATTTATTTATTTATTTATCTTTAATGAACAATGATAATCGAACCAAGCTCAAATAAGTGTGTTTCGCTTATGTGTCAGCTCATTTTTGTGAATTCTACCTTTGATTAATTAAAATCGCGATTCTTGACATAATGATGTCAAATCATATACGATGACGTAGCCGAGAATGTTCTTTTACTGAAGTGACGTTTTTTCCCTTTCCTAAACATCCAGGTTTACGATTACTTTTTTTTTTTTTTTTTTTAAACTCCAACACTCGAGTTCTCAAGATGCAACATGAAAATGAAGTCAAGTACAATTTATACGAGAGGAAGATCCAGCCCAAGATTACGCTTCACGATCCGCTCCCTCTTTCTGCACGTTTGAGACGGTTGGTGCGCGAAATGCCGCCCGAAGCACTTCCTTTGGTGCTGATTGTTGTTGCGGCCGTTGCCGGAGGCACCATGGCCGTGGGGCACAAGTTGGCCACCGATAGGAGCTTGAGAAAGTACCCTACATCGTATCACACCATACCTACAAGCAAGTGACAAAGGATCTTTTTGGGGAAATCGTCTCGGACATAAGTCATAATAATTTAGAATAAATATTCCCACTTTTTTTTTGATCGAGTCAATGTCGGTACAAATGCAACATTCATTTCAAATTTCATATTTGCGAATCTTTCTTTTTTTTTTGACTAAGTAGGTTTTTTGATTTTTTTTTATTTTTGATATTTTTGAAATTTTTTTTTTTTTTTTTGCAATTAAAACAAAAAAAAAAGAGGATAATAAATAAAAATACAGAGAGAGTAAGATGGTAAAGTGTGTAATAGGAAATAATGGTATTATAATGAAGTTAAAAGGTAATAATTCCAAATAAGTATATATATCATATTTAATAAAAAGAAAAAGAAAAAAAAAAAAAGAAAAAAGAAAAAGAAAAAGAGAAAAAAAGTACTATTTACAAGATGAGAGAGGTTTCGGTGTATCGGAAACCTCGGAACAGGACCTTTTTTTTTTTGGTTTACATAAACTACGCTGAAATTATGGAGGTCGAGAAGAAAACTAAGAGGCCACGTGAATAAGTCCTGAGTTGTAGTTTATATCTGACGCCATGAGAAAGTACCTCGAGCAAGTTAATGCCCCATGTGACGTTGGCGCAGTGAGAATTCCTGAAACTGTGTGAAAATCAAAGTGTGTCAGACGATGTTACACACCGGCATCGGCATCCCCACATCAAAATTTCCTTAAAAGGCTTACCATGTGCACACAAAATCGCAAAAAAAGAGATCCGACAGGCGATGGAGCCGACAAGGGGCACGATCTCCACAGATGAGCGATTTAGAGGAGAACAAGGAGAGGTTCGTAGAAAAAAAATAGTGTAATACGATGGTGCCAAAGATAAAACCCCGGGTGAATTCAGTATGCTAGTCTTCCTCGCGCAGTAATTGAGCAAAGTTTCCGCAACCCAAATCCCGACACTAGCACAATCAATTCCCAAGAATTGTTACGATTTGGCTTATTCCATAGGATATCGATATAGTATGGAAAACGAATAAGATATAACTTCGAAAAAATAGTATTGACGAGTTTTTTTTTTAAAAAAAAAAAAAAAAAAAAATATACATAGATTTATGTATGATATAGATAGATAATCGTTCCTTCAACGAAATTATGAAGAGACGAAAACGTGATAAACGAATAAATAAATTTAATTCGGTAGACGGGTTGATTTTTTTAAAATGAGAAATGTTTGGTGTGGTGTTTCTGAGTCGAGGCGAAACTGTGGTATGTGCGTGTGTGCGTGTGTGTGTGTGTATTGAGGTGTCGTTATCGATAGTAGTAGAAAAAAAAAGGAAGCGATGAATTCATAAATAGCTTTAAAGAACTGTATAAACGGAGGTAAAAGTCTTGTGTTGGTTATTTTTATTACTCTGAATTTTTTCAATTTTATTTTCTCTGAATTTGTTTTTTATAAAAAAGAAAAGAAAAGAAAACACGAAAGAAGAAAGAAAAGAAAGAAAAAAAAAAAAAAACGGATATACAGTCTAGGTGGAATGGGTTTCGCGATGACTCAGAAACAACACACAACGATCTCCTCTCATCGAAAAGAATGATTGTGGTCTCAAGGGAACTAAGCCTGTATTGATTTTTTGAGGAATGTTTCAGGGAATCCTGAGCTCTCGACAGTCGCCAGATTGAGACCTTTTTATATGAATTTCTTCACCGCCTTTCCCAAAAAAATTTTCACGTATCAATAAAAATCAGTGGTAATATCATTACGATTTTGGGTAAAAATTCGACATAATCACCTTTACACGGCACATAAACACATCAAACGTTCAACCGGGATTAACATGTTCAAGTCTAAATCTGAAACTTATTAAAATTCCGTAACACATCATATACCAATATTAAGAGCTATCAGATGATGATGGTGATCAATCACTTACTCTAATGAGATGGATATAGCGTCATTCAACTAATTCATCGATGCGTGTCCCATGCGTCCTGTCAAAAAAAGGACAATCTATCTAAAAAATTCTATTCTTCCCCTCATTATAACTGGATTTTCATTAGTCCATTTTTTTTTTTTTTTTTTGTTTTAACTAACGTTTTAATAACGAAAATATGTGTAATGAATGATTTTTTTTTTTTCTGAACGAACTTTATGGGCCCTCGTCACTCCCTCCCATAAACAATAGTCTTCATTGTTATGTTCATACTAACACCTTCCAACCTCATATACAATATATTTTTTTTTCTTTATAATGACATTTTATTTGCGGATTAGAAAAACTTACAGATTTGGTAATCTGTGTCGTGTGGGGAAGGTGTCACACGTCACCGGTTCGCCGATTATCCATATGATGGTTTCTTTTTTTTCTTTTCTGTTCAACACGCGTGCGATTTGATTGCAGATGTTGATGTGTGTACCGGTACGGCACGGTATACGAAATTACAGTCGGACTGATGATACATTTAGTGTAGCAGAAAATTCAGAAATCCAGTGGTCATGTTTAGATTGGCACAAAAATAGGTTAATTGAGGTGCACAATCATAAACGCACCACACGTACCGGTGCCAGTACATAATTTCAGGATGTGCGACATTCGTACGTAATTTACGGATAAATTAACCTATCCTCAAAATTATGCAACCATGCAAGAAAAAAAGTCTAAAGACAATTCATTATTTGTTACTCATGCAACCGGATCGAAACTTCAAACCTAACGCACAGGTCAACAACAATTGGGCGTTAAACTCGTCCTCCGCATACACACTGTCTATACATATACAAGGGGTAAATAGAGAACGACGGTCTAGTATTCCTATGGTTAGTTGCAAAGAAAGACTTCATAAGTACAACACGGAAATGAACGCCAAAAATGAGAAAACGGGGAAAGAAGAAGGGCATGATAACCGGGCATAACCATTTTGACTGATACAGAATATTTCTTGTGTAAATTGGGTGAAAACGGGATTCCTCCCAAATCCGATTTCATACATGCGAGATATGCTAAATTTGCGATGTTGACTCTTAAAAATTCTTTTTTATTTGTGTACAAATGTACGTACGCATACGTGCAGAGAAACAATTTACACACTATACAGTATATGCAGAACGTTGGTTGTTGAATTACGCACATACTTGTTTTTAATTTAATCCGAGCAGCAATAAGAGCCATTTTGGTGGACATGTGAACGAGAAAGAAGAAGAAAATGAGAAAAGAAAAAGAAGAAAAATGGAAAGTGAAAAAAAAAACATAAAAATAAAAAAAAAAACAACAACGAAAAAAAAAAAAAAAAAAAAAGAATGAATGAATGAATGAATGAATAAAAAGGACGAGCAATATTCAATGAAAGATGGTTTTCCCTCTATCAATGATACATTGCGCAATTGTGCAGGTGCAGCGTTTAATCCATCTCTTTCTCCTGTCTCCTAACCAAAACGGTTCTAATTGCATGTGTATGTCACCCAAAAATTACCCCATATTCTTCATTCTCCATAAGGACTCTACTTTCCCTGGAGATGTCGCAATATTAAAACATCAAAATTTTTTGACATTCTAATCTGGATGCATCATGCAACATCATCTTCTTTGTTCGTACTTGCTTATGTGCGTCCGCGTATATGTGACGCGAAATGCGATATAATACTCCAATTGCCAAATTCGCTTGACACCATACAAAGAAAAAATTTTCAACCTAGATGACTTGTATGTACGAGCAATTTGGCGTTTTATTTACTCGAAATTTTTTTTTTTTTTTTTTTTTTTTCTTTCTTTCTTTCTTTCGCATATTCAACACCTTTCTTTCGGTGTTATTCGTGTGCGTGTGCGCACGTCACATTACGTTGCGTATCGTCGTCGGGGAGATTGTTGGTTGGTCGATTATACATTACATAATTCCAATCCATGTTGGGATATTGTACATGTGTACAAGTGTTAAACGTAGTCCTCATGACCCACATATTTAAAGTTTAGGTTAAGAAAGCTTATTTCTTAATACGTACTTTCATGTGCAAAATTTCTTTCCATTTTTTCATTGGTTGCTGTTCACGGTCTATCAGTCAATAAACCGATGATCGTTCTATATAACACTTGCCATTAGCATAAAAGATTTTCCATTACTCAAATTTTACCCATCATCAAAATGGTTACAGTTTCGTTTTCATGAAGAAAAACATTATCAAGAGGGGTGGGAAATGTACACGGTCTTTACTTGTGATGAAACCGGTTTAAGATTCCTAAAACTTCTTATCGGCCCACCACAACCAACATTCTATCATCGCGCATTTTCTGGAAAACCTTGATTTTAGGTCACTTGACGCACAACAAATTTCGTGTTCGATTAATTGTTTTCACCTAGCTCGAATGTTTACCGCCGCAAGTTTTTTTTTTTTTTTTTAAAAGATGGTCTGACTAACGGAGTGAGGTGACATTCCCCAATGAATTCGACTACCTTTCTGGGATTCAGTTACGCCTGCACTGGCGGGAGTCGGATTATCCCTGGTGTGTTGCGCGTTGTTGTTTATACGAAGATAGTGACATTTTAACGAAGAGGTTGTGTGATACCTTGGTCTTCGACTCATTCGCATCTAATGTGTTCGAGGATTGGTGATTCAACTTTTGCGATTGGTGATGTGATGTGTTTCTCTCGTCAATTATCTGTTATGTTCTTACGTACGTGCGTGTACTGTACGTACATTCCAGAACTCTCGTCAAAAAGTGTTGGGAAACCTTAAAATTCGTGTAAATTATGTTTTGGTTACTCAAATTTTAATCGTACTATTACTTGCCCCTATCTATTTATCTTTATTTTTCGTCGAACCAATAACATGCTGGCAACGTTGGACGAATGCGTACGCACGTACGCACACCGTACATCATCATCATCATCTTTCGAGTGATTATCTCGGTGATGTCACTGCGAAAAGGAAGCGGCGAAGTTTGTATACCGGCTGAGTCAATAAAAACAATCAAATACGGTCTAGCATGTTTTCCCTTTATCCAGTAATGAAATGGTTGAGTTGGACAAGAGGAAAACAATTTACGTACCTGCATACATTAGACGACAAAGAGTTAAGATCACGTGTTCGGGAGTTGTTTTGTTGATTACAAATACGTTTTTGTTTCTCTTTGGTGTTAGTCATCGTGAGCGTCATTCAGTATCTAGCGAATTTGGTGATTATTAATGTGGGGAAGTGTTCACAGTAAGGCGTTGTTTGTTTAACGTTTATCCGGAGAGAATGTGCGCAATCAAGTAACCAATAGCAAGATGCGGTTAAAAGATTTCAGTCAATCCGCTCTCACTCAAAATTTTCAATCGCTCCAATGAAACCCTAAACCTAAACACGTCAAAATTATGTGTGTGTGTTCACGTAAATATTTATGATTGATAATTGTCTATACTATATAATAAATAATTCTTGATCTTTATTAACATATTCTGTATATGCGCATTGTATGTATAATTTAAAGCAATATACTGTACTGTTATAAGAGATAACATGAATGAATAATTGGAAAAATGTGGTTATTAAAATTCAAATTAATTTACAAATAATATACCGTATATACTGTATACTGTATATTGTATATTGCGATTTTTTTGAATTTTAAATTTATGAGTTTGTAAATAATTTAATTTATTATCCTAGATGTAATTTTGTAAATAATTTATTATTCTAGATATAATTTTATAAATAATTTATTTTTCTAGATATTATTTTGTAAATAATTTATTTTTCTAGATATTATTTTGTAAATAATTTATTGTTTCAAAAATAATTTTGTAAATATTTATTGTTTCAAAAATAATTTTATAAATAATTTAATGTTTCAAAAATAATTTTATAAATAATTTAATGTTTCAAAAATAATTTTATAAATAATTTATTATTTCAAATTTGATTCAAATATATTATTTTTAAATTAAATAATTCTTGATAATTTATTATTATAAATCTTTCTTTAAATATAAATATAAATTTTATTTATAATTATTTCAATATTTTTATTGGTTTCTCCTTTTATATTATAATAAATTTTTGTAA